TTTTTGTTGTTTTTATATGTCTTTGTTGTTATACCATGTTATTGTTTCCTTATTAATCAATTTATATATTATTTTTCACCTCTGACACTTTTATTATAAAGGGCAAATAGCAATATTAAAATATTTCTTCTAATTAATTTCCTTTCAATGTGCACAAATGCGTGCACCAGGCCACTAGTGTGTGTGTGTGTGTGTGTGTGTGTGTGTGTGTAAAAGATCTTACATTAAACATTTAAAACAAGGTTATAGGAAGATGACATACATAACTAGAAATTTTTATGACATAATATTCTTGTCTTTCTATAACAATGCATCAGGTCTTGCTTGCAACTGCCAATTACCCCCCAGCTTTTTCTTTTTCTGTTCTACAAAAATTAATCAGAAAATTTCTCTTGACTAACAAATGCTTTTGCCACCCAATTGACTGCAGAATTATAGCTTGGGGTCTAAGTTTAATTCTGAGAAAATCAAGTAATTTGACCTTAAAGGAAAAAATTCCAAATCCATTCATCTATAAAGCCACGAACTTGTACATGATAAAGTTCGCTGGACCTGCGGAAAACACACATATCCACAACTCTGATAATTTTAGGAAGATATTTGTAATAAATTTCAACAGACTGGTAAAGTTAATTCTTGAAACCAAATTGAGCTGTTATCACTTGACATAAACTTACCCAAAAAAATGTTCCTCAGAGGAAAATGGACTTCTATTTGTTTAATATTTTTCCCTTCAAAGAGTAGAAGAGCTAAGGTAACGCAACTCAGCCAAATAAGTTTCCACCTCCCTTTTGTTCTTCTCCTTAAATGTCTTCAGAGCCAGACATTTATCCTCAAATGTCTTCAGAGCCAAGGTAAAAATGGCAGTGATTGCAGGAGGGGAAAGGAGAGGGTCCAGGGATTCATGTCACACTGTTCTCTTAAAAAAAAAAAAAATATATATGCCTCCTGCATGCCCCACACTGGGGATGGAGCTCGCAACCTGTGCACGTACCCTGATTAGGAATCAAACCAAGACCTCCTGGTTCATAGGTTGACACTCAGCCACTGAGCCACACTGGCCGGGAAGACACTGTTCTCTTTAGAGCAGAGGTTGTAAACTTGTTGTTTGGCTTATAAGAGCGTTTGCTTTGACCCAAGAGTGCTTTTTCAGAAATTCACATTAGCTGTTAACTTTTAACAGGAGAGCAGAACAGAATGGAAGAAGGTTAGAAGTGGAATGGTTCTCCCCAGTTCCTGGTGAGTAGTAGGGCTGTTGTAATGATTTCTGCATGCATGCATGGATAAACTTCTTCATTCTACTGTTAAAGAAAATGAGCCCTTAGCATACCTATTAAAGGACACGCATGCAAAATATCTTAGATTCAGAAATTCTTAGTTCCTATTGTGTTTTAAAGTTCAAGTAAACATTCCCCCGCTAACTGGCAGTTACCTAGTTTTGTCCTCATCTTACCCATCCATTCCTATGAAAACTTAATAAAATCTATATCCAGGAGTATAAGTCTAAGTTATTAAACATTTATTTTCAACTTTGATATATTCAGTTTCATGTTCTGCAAAGTGATTCAATCCACCAAAAGCAAAAAACAGAAATTCAGAAAAATATGAAATGTCATTGATGCATTTGTTCACCAAATTCCCTCTGGAACAGCCAGTCTGTTTACATTCTGAGAATAATGCTGAACTATCACTTGACCTAAATCTTTAGACTGTAAAAGGTTTTCTTGAAAGTATTCCTAAATGAAGAAAAAATTAAAGTTAAAATTGAAATTGAAAAAGGATATCCTGGAATAATTTTAAAAGTAGGTAATTAAAATATTAATAAGAAAATAGCATATCCACTGAGAATATTTACTACACCACGTCTAAATAGCTTCTGAGCAGCAAATTAAAGTTGATGGTTTCATCCAACAGATATTTTGCAGATCAAGTAGCTGACAAACTAGCTTAGGTACTTGAAGAGAAATGCAATTAAATGCTGACAACTCAGAAGAGAGTCACTAGGATAGTGAAGAATCTAAAAAACACAAAATAGGAAGAATAGATAAATGTCTGGAGAACAGGAAAAACGTTTGGAGAGGCAAGGGCCAGGCATGATGGCAATCCTCAAATACACATAAGAATCTTGCAAGAACAGTTTTAATAAGTTGCTGAAATGGTAGGCGGCATGGTGTGGTGGAAAACCTGTAGATTGAGTTTGGACCTTGCCAATAAAAGCTATTTCAGATTTTGGATGAGTCACTTAACCTCTCCATTAAATGGGCAATAACAGTATATAAAGATCTTTCAGTTTTAGAATTCTATATAATTTAGTGATCTGAAAAGTTCTTACATTTAAAAGCTCTCAGAAAAAGTTTAGATTCTTTAACTATGATGCATTCACTATTATCGTGGATATCAGGTTTTAATTTCCTTTAAGGTAGTTGAGTTGTAGGAGCTATGTCTCTCTCAGTTCAATTCCTCTTCTGATGGCTTAGTTTGTGCTTTCTTTTTTTTTTAGTTAATACTCACCTAAGAATATGTTTTTCCATTGCTTTTCAGAGAGTAGAAGTGAGAAAGGGGAGGGTTGAGAAAGAGAGAAACATTGATGTGAGAAAGACATATAGACTGATTGCCTCTTGCACGTGCCCCAACTGGGGGAGGAGAGGGAACCCACAACAAGGTATTTGCCCTTGACTAGGAATTGAACCCGAGACCCTTCAGTGTGCAAGCTGGCATTCTAACCACTGAGCACAATGGCCAAGACAGTTTGTGCTTCTTACTACACCTTTTCCTAGACCCAAGTTTGAGACTGTGCTGAGTGGCTTCCATCTTCCACTTCCCTTTGAACAACTGAACAGAGTATTATTTCACTTCCCTCTTGTACTATGCAGTCTCAACTTTCTCCCTTAAGACTCCCAAATACCAAAATATCCCATCCTCTTCAGTTGGGATGAATTCCATGAGCACTTCTAAACTACTATATGTGGTTGTTCTTTTCAGGTATATAACACAGAGATAGTGAAGGCACAAGCAAAGCAGCCCAACAGGCTGATACACATGCTGCATTACCCACCTCTAACTTCCCAACACCAACATTAACTCACCTGCATCTGCACTTCACACATCTCTTTCCTTCTTGGAAATTGTCCCATCCTGTCTTACATTCTCAGAACCTTCACTATAGATTATTCTATCTGTCACCTTTATCTTCTAATTGTCTGCCTTTGCTCAATTGTTTACATGATAATTTACACATGCTAAGCATTACCCATCTTTTTTTTTTTTTTTAATGTGTTTTTTTACAGAGAGGAAGGGAGAGAGGTAGAGAGTTAGAAACATCGATCAGCTGCCTCCTGCACATCTCCTACTGGGGATGTGCCCGCAACCCAGGTACATGCCCTTGACCGGAATCGAACCTTGGACCTTTCTGTCCGCAAGCCGACGCTCTATCCACTGAGCCAAACCGGTTTCGGCGCATTACCCATCTTAAAAACAAACAAGAATGCCTCCCTGGTCCTTTGACTCTTACAGGGGTGGGCAAACTTTTTGACTCGAGGGCCAGGATGGGTTCTTAAACTGGACCGGAGGGCCGGAACAAAAGCATGGATGGAGTGTTAGTGTAAACTAATATAAATTCAAAATAAACATCATTACATAAAAGGGTACGGTCTTTTTATTCAATAGTTTTATTCATTTCAAACGGGCCGGATCCGCCCGAGGGCCATAGTTGGCCCATGGCTGCTAGCATCACTCTCTCCTACCTCTTCAGCCAGACGTCCAGCCTCCTTTCCTGCCTGTCTCTCACCCCGACCACACCGTACCCATTAACCTCTTTACAATTTCTGTAAGCACTGGCTCTGGAATCAAAACGTATGCTGGCTCCTCCAGTTACTCTAGTAAGGGTAGGAAATTACTTCACCTCTGTACCTTAGTTTTCTGGCTTGAAGAGGGAAGATCATCATTTTTAAAGTGAGGATATAGGCTCAATATAAATGTGTTACATAAATAAATCTTCACGGAATTTATACTTTAAGCAACATGCAGCTAAACTTTCAGTTAGTTATAATAAAGTTGTATATAAAAAGTTGGCAGAAATCCAAGCATCTTATCCTTCAATTTCCCTATTACTGCCTGCTGTTTATTTATTTTATCATTCATTAGTACCACCATTAATGCTTAGTAATAATCAAAGATGGTTGGAAACTTAGATCACTGCAAGTAATACTTGGTAAATGTTTGAATTATTATAATATTTTACTTAGGAAGCAAGAAGAATTGTGTTTAAAATTACCTTCTGTAATAATACGTGGATTCTTCTTCTATATGGAAGTTCCCTAAACACTGTTTGCTTTGCCAGGAGTCCAGGAAAACTCCCACCTATATTCCATTGTTATTGAATTCACATTTGTCCTTTAAAACCCACCTTACACATTAGTTTCCTGAGAAGCATTCTCAAGTCACCTTTGTTCCATGCTTCCTCTTCAATCAGTATGCCCTCTGTACCTGGAACACCTTTCTACTGTGACATCTATCACACTGTAATAAAATTCTTCATGTATGTTCTGCTACTAGGCAGTGTATTTCTTCTTGAAGATAAGACAATATCTTATTCATTCTGTATGCAAAGTGCCTCTCTGTGCCCCAAACCAGTGAATATTTATTTGAAACGACCTGGGTGAGGGGAATGCATTTGGAACCTGCTTTGAGGAACACTGGTTTAAGAAACCAAGTCCAATTCTATGAAATTGTTATTCCAATGGGGCATTATTACCTGAAATTAGTTTTACCTATAGGACTTACTTTTTACCATTAATATAAAAAGACAAAATAAAAATTCTCATAGCTCTGATGGACATATTTGCAAACAATGATTTACTAGAGAAAACTAAGGATCCATTGTCATAAACAGCTTAAATTCTACTTCTGACACCATGCAGCACTGAGAAAATTATCAAAAATTACCCACCCCAACATATCTTTCTCCATACTGTAGGAGTAAAATCTAAGATGAGATCATAGAAATTAAAGTGTAAATGAAAAATAACGATGCTACTGAATCCCAGCAGTGATTACCATAGATACAAGTATGGTTGATTATAATTTAAAATTAAACTCTGAGGTCCCACTGATCAAATTAACTCTTCATTGACTAAGAAAATACTCAGGAAGAATGGCAAATCAATAGTTTTCTACATGTGCAACACAGTCTAATTAAAATTTAAACTGACACACCCACAGATAAACATACATATATGATATATATCTACCTCACAGAAATGAAAATGTACTTAAAATGTTTTCATGCTTCTACATTACTAAGGCAAGTAAGCAACTCATACAAATAATATTGGTTATTTGATCACAGCTTTAGTTACATGATATGGTATAAAAATTCTAAAATAAGTAACTCTCTGGTCATAGAGAGAGGTATTTAAATCATTAACGTATTAAAACATGATTAATACTTTAAATTGATTTTTAAACTATAACCATAATAATCACAATAGATGTCAGTTTGAATAGAATCTCATTTGGAGAAGACAAAAGAGACAAATTGCTTGTTCATTGTTTTTTTTTTAAATGACATCAGAGACAGGTATGCCGTGTAATAGAAATCACATATATACTATGTATACTACTACTTGTAACAGCAACCCCTCAAAAAGAAATCTATGTACAGATACAGATATATTATGGTTATAGCACAAAAAATTGAAGAGCAGAACTTTTGTGTAGCTTGAAATCCCAACACTGCCATTAGGTGAGCCAGTTTCTTTACCTCTCAAAGCTACTGCTTTCCCTTCCAAAAATTTGGAATAACACCAATACCATCAGAGAGCTCTTATAATAATTAAATAACATAAATGAAAGTGCTATTTAGAGGACCTGTTTCACAGCTAGAGGTGCCCTTTGGCTATTTTCAAATAAAAGATTTCAACAAAATAGAAACATTTTTTAAAAAGCACTGGTTGAGATTCTCAGTTTGAACAAAGAATGTTAGTTAAAAGAGGAATGAAAATTCCAATAAAGCAATAAGGTTTAGTTAGTATGTGGTTAAAGAACCTAGAAAGTATTCTTTTAAAATATTTTTTTAAATCCCCATACAAACAAAATCTAATTTGTGAAATCCAACCAAAACAACATTTTGGATAATATAACAAACATATTTAAGATTATATAATATTACCATGAAAAAGAATACCAGGATTAAAATTTAATATCAAATAGACTGAATCTGAGATAACATTCCTATATACAATACTAGAGGCCCAAAGAACGAAATCTATGCAAGGGGCTTGGCCCTCACAGCCCTGGCTTCGTCCAAAAGGTCATCCGGAAGGACATCCAGAAGGTCGTTTGGCTGTCTGGTCTAATTAGCATATTATGCTTTTATTATTATAGATACTGTTTTTATGAGTAAAACAGCATGGACTGCTTATCAAGACTAGAATACTACTTATTAAAAGATCATTTAATTGTATTTATACAGGATTTAACAAATATTCTAAAATACTCCAAAAAGGAGGTATGTTTTAATCTCTTGGCATTAACTAGTTTAAAAACCTGAGGCACAGGGAAGTGAATTACTTCAAATTCTGAATCAGACTTTTTATCTCCTGAACAATGATTTTTTTAATGGTAAAAAATGTTATTTCGCTTTTTTTAAACAGGAAGGTATTCTCCAAAGCAATGAAAGAAATTATACAGACTTTTTTAATGAATACAGCTCCATTAAGCAGCCTGCTGGAACATGGTATAAAAAGAACCAGCACACATTGACTTTTTCAAGTGTGGGTGTCCTGGTATTCTTGAGACTGTTCACCCACTCATATGAGTCAGTTTTATATAACATTGTAACGTATAATTTGCCGCCTACTCACAAGCCAACACTTCAGAGATAACATCTCACCATTAGTTATTTAAGGAACATGGTAACTTGGAACTTTTAAAAATATTTTATAAAATTGCAAACAATAAAATTATTACTACGTCAGCAACAAGTACCTTGGCTTCCAAAAAAGCATTCCAATTTGTTTCAGTAAGTTTTAGGGAACATGTTAAGAAAATATGTAAATTGTTTCACTGTACCCAAATACCAAAACTTTATTTAAAAATCTAGATGTTTTAACAGGTATTACTCATTTTTGTACATAGAGAATATCAAGTGATTAGCAATTACATTCTTACTGAGGAATTATTTCCATGGCTACTCAAGATAGTTTAAGGGTTCAAGAAAAGTAGGATCAATTTTGTTTTCTCCACAGTGTAGCAAATATTCCATTTCTGAAGGGTAATAACCACAATAATAAAAGGAATGTCCAGATCTTTATGTTTACGCTAAAATTCTTTCACTTATAGCATTACTAGAAAATAGTGGTTCCATAAGTAGTTTGAAAATCGTTACTATACTGAGACATTTTCTATTAAATTATTTATTACAAGAGGCCCAATGCACGAAATTGTGCAAGAGTAGGCCTTCCTTCCCCCGGCTGCTGGCACCGGCTTTCCTCTAGCACCTAAGACCCGGACTTCCCTCGCAGCCCCAGCTTCGTCCAGAAGGACGACCAGTCTAATTAGCATATTATGCTTTTATTATTATAGACTAGAGACCCGGTGCACAAAATTCATGCGGGGGGGGGGGGGGTTCCTCAGCCCTGCCTGCCCCCTCTTGCAATCCTAACCACTGGCCTGCCTTCCTGATCGCCCCCAACTGCTTGCCTGCCTGCCTGATTGCCCCTAACCACCTCTGCTTCAGCCCCCACCGCAGTGGCTTTGTCCGAAATGACATCCAGAAGGTTGTTCGGCTGTCTGGTCTAATTAGCATATTATGTGTTTATTATTATAGACGATGATATAACTTTAGTGATCTTTCATTAAAAAGGAGTCTCCAAAGGAAGCAAGAAAAGCAGGCAGGAATGAAGGATGCATTTTAAGCATTGAACAGACCATCAAACCTTAGAGGGAAGGAAGTGGAGGGTGGGAGCGGAGGGTAAGAGATCAACCAAAGGACTTGTATGCATGCATATAAACATAACCAATGGACACAGACAATAGCAGGGTGAGGGCATGTGCTGGGGGTTGGAATGCCCAGGAAGAGGTCAATGGGGGGAAAAGAAGACATATGTAATACTTTGAACAATAAAGAATTTAA